CCCAAGACCATCCCAGGTAGCACACCATGCCGGCCGATACTGGGATTACGTCGGCCAGTACCGGGAGCTGTACGGCGGATCCCGGCCAGGGACGCCGGTAAGAAACCGGCCCCGGCCGATATCGGGGACTCGTTGTCTAAACTGGCCAGTTCCTGCCGGAAAGTTCCCGATACCGGCCGACATCGTTTTCTTGCTGTAGTCACCGGCCAGTCTAGCCATGGAGTTTCCGGTGACTGGCCGATATCGTATTCTTGCTGTAGTCACTGGCCAGTCTAGCCGTGGAGTTTCCGGTGACTGGCCGACATCGTTTTCTTGCTGTAGTGACCGGCCAGTCTAGCCGTGGAGTTTCCGCTGACAGGCCGACATCGTTTTCTTTCTGTAATCACCGGCCAGTTCAGCCATGGAGTTCCCGGTGACTGGCCGACATCGTTTTCTCGCTGCTTTCACAGGCCATTCAAGCCATGCAAGTTTTGATATTATGGTTATATTTATATTATATTATGGTTACAAATGACCGTTAGGTTGGACATGTCTTCAATATTCTAAAAGGTGACACCTAATATTATACTTAGCCTAATATTAACGCCGCGTCATCTTTGAACCAGTTAACAAAGGCTTATTTCCGTTTTGGTAAACAGGACGGGATCAAACATGGCTGTGGAATGAAAATTTAATTTGGTTTACATCTAATAATTTCTTAGAGCGCAGCTCTTAGGCGCCCGTTTCCGGCTTGAGCGGCATCGCCGTCGCAGTCGCCGTCGGCGTAACCGCGCGTTTTATTATGGGAAACGTCCCATAATGCAACGCGCGGGTCTCATCGTGACCCGCGCATTGCATTATGGGAGGTTTCCCATAATGACGGCATGTGTGACGTCACGAGGGTTCCGCGCGTTGCATTATGGGAAGCGTCCCATGATGCAACGCGCGGTCCGCGACGGCGACACCAACGTCGCCGTCGGCGTAACCGCACGTTGCGTTATAGCAAACGTCCCATAATGCAACGCGCTGTCTCATTTGTGACCCGCGCGTTGCATTATGGGAAGCGTCTCATAATGCAACGCGCGGGTCGGCGACGCCAACAACGCCGTCGGCGTAACCACGCGTTGCGTTATGGAAAACGTCCTATAATGCAATGTGCCGTCTTATTCGTGACCCGCGCATTGCATTATGGGACGTTTCCTATAATGACGTTAGAAGGGTCCCGCGCGTTCCATTATGGGAAAAGCCCCATGATGCAACACGCGGGTCACTTGTGATCTGCGCGTTGCATCGTGGCGGCGAAACTTGCTTTCGATGAGTTGGGCATTTTTACTGCGGCACTGCGCTTCCGTAAAAAATTTCCACGTGTTCTCAACGGCAAGTTTCACGGCTTACACAGGGTTTTAAAGAGCTTCTTCAACGAATGGCTGCAACGAGTAGAAAACATGTCTTCAGCATGCTGCCGCCAGCCTCCGCAACGCTCCAAAAACGTGATTTTTCAACATGCAAGATGGCCGACCGGTAGCTTTACTCTCGCGCTGCAGCTGCAGCGACCAAACGGGGATGCGCGATCCAGCCCTTTCCCCAGGCAGGTGCCGAGCGCTCCGCGCTAGCGGTCGTTGAGCGGTCGGCCTCAGTGAGCGATCCACCCCAGTGGCACGCGCTGCCACCGCGTTCACAGCGTGTGCCCTTGCTTATTAACAGTTTTGGTTCCCATTGTTATCTTGCTGAAAGCATGAAGTTCTGATCGGAACTTAATGCTTTGACAAAAAAGTTGATTGTTACTACTTGATTAACGGTGACCCCGATGTTGAGACACTATTTATTTTTCCTTGCAGTTATATAAACCCGATGAAGACAAGTACTTTTGTACGAGCCGTAGGATGCAATAGACCCTTTGCAAAAATCCCAAAAGCCCGCGCGCGCCGCGCGACAAATAATGGGACTCCTCGCTACGCCCCTCCTCCCGCTACCACGTGGCCACGGTGTAGTCACGTGGCATACACGAGCAGGTGCAGGTTACCACGGCAACAGAGCAGCCGACGGCTGCCCCTTTCATATCCCTCTCCTTTGAACCGGCTCTGTCGTCTGCTGCACCAACGCTCTGTCGCACCTGGTCGAAACCTGACACGGTTGCGGTGCAAACTAAATGGATTCGGCGACACTTCAGTACGTGAAGGTAAGTTACGACGAATAAAGTATTGAAATGAGTTCACCTGTCGCGATGCCTTTGCGCTGCCTCAGATACGGTACGCCGGCAACGACGTACGACTCGGCGGATGGCTGCGACGGCTGCTGGCGGTAGCTGCCGGGATGCGCGCGCAGTCGCGGAGGCGCAACGAGAAAGCGCGTGCGCGTGATCTGTACCGAGGGTTCCCATATTCCCTTCCGTCGTGGCGCTGTACGTTTTGCAAAGGGTCTATTAAGCAATACCAAACACGTATGCCGTAAAGCGATTGTCATCTCTGAAGGCGAGTTCCATCTGCGGAGTATTTGGCGTATTGGCTCTTCATCCGAATAGGCGCGCACAACGTCTTCGACGTAACGCCATAGCTTGGGCCTCTTCGCTGGCAAGGCGAATGAGTCGGCAAAGACTTCGCCGAGAACAGCTGCCTCGTCGTCGCTCGAGCTGGAGCTAAGCTGGTATCTTCGTCACTGTCGCTGATTTCGCTGCTACCGCGTTTTATTAGACCTCCTGAAATTAACTGCAACGATGTCATCGCCGCAGTATGCTCGGCCCAGTCGGTCATGACAATAAGAACGAAAGCAAACACAGCAAGAGAGCCCACACAGCAATCGAAACAAAAAAGCAGCGAAATTCCTTCATTCCCTTTCGGCAACATTAATAACGAAACTGAAATGTTGCGAGTGACTACAGATCGTACTCCCCCGAAAAAGGCTGCGCGGAGAACTACTCCGGGTCCGAGACGTCTGTCCGAGGAAGACACAGTTTGGGCGGCACATTCGTTTCTTACATCGTTCTGCATGATCGTAATCGAAACATCACGTGCACCCTATTTTCAACTAGAAACAGTCACTAAATTCAACCCTTACGCGCTTATTAAAACCAGATCTGCTCCTCGCTACCACTGCTAAGGGATTCTATGGACTACTTCCATAAACCCCTGCATGCAACACGGCGCGCATTACACTCTGGGAACTAGTTGGCCAGGGAGGAGAGTAGCATGGTTTCGGTTTCGATCGACAGGTCGACAAGAGATTATACAGAGAGCGTGGACTATTAACGGCTGTGATCTCGAGTTTTCTGGTCCCGAGAGCATCATTTTTGGTCTCTAAACTAACCTAAATGGCCAGACCTCGAAGATAGCACAAGCCCGAGACGTATTGCTTGTCTTCACACATGCTTGTTGTATTTTTGTACATGATCGAGCCTTTCTGTTAGCGTTTCGAGATACACGTGAACGATCCAGTGCTGGGAATCTCGACGCTGCGTAGCTCCGGTATCTTGCTTGTGTGCGACTCAACAAGCTGTAACGACCAATAAGTTTGCATACATCTATACGTCGTCGTCCCCCCCCCCCCTTGTACATATCATCTCATAATCATCATCACTAGACGTGGCACCGCGGGCCTCCATGGTACGGGCTGTCGCCTTTTCGCGGTGCCACGGCTCTCCTGAGCCAATAAAGATTATCATTATCATTTACAGCTGGTCAGGAAGTTTGTTTGTTTTGCGCGTATAATTTGCGCGTATAAGACGAAGTATAATTTTTGGGACTACTGTTTTTCTTAATACGCCTGAGTACGTGAGGTGAAACTCGGAGGCGCCATTGAAAAGCTCAATTCGAACACACTTCTTATCTCTTATCTGTACTGAGCCGCACCACTGCACGAGGCTATGTCCCCACCCGCTTGCATTCCACTAATACTCAACATCGCGTATGCAAAAAAAGTTATTCTGCAATCATATGGGCACATTTCCACACACAGACCGTTTTAAGAAAGCAAAAGTCGAGCAATTGTGTGAAGAATGTCGCACTGTTCGCCGGAAGTATGCCGGACGGGCGTGATCCCTCTATGCGGTGTGCCAAACGAACGAAATTATTCAAAGTGCATTTGACGGTTGCTAATGGCCGTAATATTTATGTGTTAGCTTTCTTCCTGACTGAGTACGCCAAGATAATTTCAGACACACCGTTCAGACTCAGATCTTGGGCGTCAGTAAAAAAAGCTCGCTAAAAAAGGCTTAGCGAGGAGTAGGAGACGCTTGTTAGAGCCTCCGTCGCAGCTAGCCGACCTCAGTGTTTGCGAAAACCTATTCTCCTATCAGCGTAAAATTTGAGTGGGCGATATTTGATGACACGAGGAAAACATCATTGTAATTTTTGTGCAGTTAAACGTTCATGCGTCAACGCTGGGCTCAACTTTGATACTCCTGTGAGAATGCGGCTTGCATTTTGCCCAATGAAGTAACAAGAAGCGGACGTTTGGAAACAAAATACGTGTAAGGCTCAAGGTGACCAAATTTCAGTTGTAGTTCACTGGTACTAGACGGGATTTTTCAAATTGAGCTCAAAGATGCACTCGCGGGTGAGGTGACTAAGCCACGTCTTACTACATTTGCACACGCACGCACAACATCCGGTGTTTCGGAAACCAAGAAAATTGCCCCAGTCTTAGTTTTGTATCGTTCAACAATGGTGTGTATGTACATTCGTGAAAAGTCCGATAATCGAAAACGCAAGCGGAGCATTCGGTCACGGCCTGATATCATGAAAGGAAGCTGCTCAATCGAAACCGAAACTGAGTGGCCAACAAGTTCCCAGAGTGCACTTCGTAAAACGTCAGGTATCCCTTCCTGTCCTCGTTTTTTTTTTTTTTTTTTTTTTTCTTCTTTACTTAGAGTAGCACAGTAGCACGACCATATATTTGGGACTTCGTGTTTAGACTATAACAGACCTCATCCAGCATCCAGCCAGCTGTTGATAGACTTTGCTAGAAAGCCGATCCAGCATCCAATCCAAAGCCGGACAAGGTAAGCAAACGAAAATGGCGAGTGAGACAAAGTGTGCGTTGATTTTTCGTTGGCGTGGTTCGCGGCATGGATCAGGTACGGTGGCTCCTGGGTTAAAAAAATTGCATGTGACCGTGGTGGCGAGTGAAAGCGCTGCGTGTAAATCTATGCGGGGCAGAAATCGCTCGAAGTTACCCGCCCGTGCTTTGATTTTGATGTTCGTGTTTTGTCGGTTTGGTCGTACGTAGGCCTAGTGAACCAACTTTGCTCAACAACGCCGGCAAGCATCATGCTGGTGGTTGACTCGACGGCCTTTCGCCGTATCCCGACGATCGTTTCCTCGGCATGTCCCGCGAGACGGAGTAGCTGTCAAGTAAGAGATGGTACGAGCAGCAGGAAAGAGATGCGGCCGCGGATTATTTCATAGTGGCGAGCGACGGCACTTTTCTACCGTTTACGTTCGCGCACGTATTTGCATCGGCTTATGCCCGTTCGTGGTGTAGATGCCCTTTGCCTTTCGTTGCATCGCGCCGTTTCCACGCTTCGAGCGCACCTTCGGGGCGCCCGGCCGAATACGGGCGAGTGTCGCGCCGCAAGCCTGGCGAGACCGGCGAGACGGCGATCGGTCGGTCGGTCGGCGGCGGCGGCGGCCTCTGTGTGTTGTAAGCGTTGAAGTGAAATTAGGGGGGGGGGGATAGAGTCAATCCTGTGCGCGCGCTAGGCGCATTTGTCACTGACTCTTGGCGTAGGGTGAGGGGAGAAGAGTCGGGCGTCAGGGGCGTCGCCTCACCGTCCCGCTAGCTCGTCGTCCCATCCTCGCGCTTCATCCGGGGGAGACGGGCGGACGGACGGGTGGGTGGGTGTTCTAGCGCTCGTGGCTGGCACCGCACGGTGTCCGGAGATCAAGGCGGTCTCAGAGGGCGACCGCGCCGTGTAGGAGGAGGCATGCAAGCTCGCCGAGATGCCGCTGCCGGTGCATCGGTTTGTGCCGTCCACGAGACGCTTGTCCGTTATTTTATTTATCCTTCGATCAGGGTTTAGATTATCACGGTAACCTTGCATTGGTTACCATACTTCGCACAGTCGTAACAATTTTTTTACAGGTGACTCCTAGAGCCGCTCATATACAAATTTTGCTGCGCGCAATACTTCTTTTTTTTTGCGACACATTTTTTTTTTTTGCATTATAACTTAACGGTATATCGAAACTTTCTGCTCGTAGCGCAATCGTACCAATGCTGAAAAATTCCGCATGTGCTGGCTTAACGTCATCATAGTAAGCACTGCTCGTTTTTCCAAGTTTACATGAAACAAAACTAGGTACCTTCGATGAAAATACGGTGTATGTCCAGGCAGTTAGCGGCATCGTACGCCTTGGTAAGCGCGTGCGCGCGTTGTGAAGTCCACCACCAGCATGGCAGAGGGCCCCGTCTTTACCTAGCGTACGTCATATGCAAGGAATGTATACTCCGTTCGCCCTTAAGCTGAGACTAAAATCTCCGCCTTCAGCACGAGCTCGCTGGCTTCTGCAGTGCTTTGGTTGCGCCTGACTGCGCGTTCGCACTTGTTTTAGCAAGGGCAGAAAGCTCGCGTTAAAGGCTGAGCTTCTAGTCTCAGCTTAAGGATGAACGGAGTATAGTTGAAACGCCATTGCGGTTGCTTGAAAAACTGGACGTAAATAAGCGTAAATTCGTGATACCAAGAAACCTTGATATCACGAAACCGTTGCAAGTAAAAAGCTACAAAGCATGATGTAAACAGACCTTGACGCGCAATGAGCACCGTTTGTTTCTTTTTTACCGCTACTTCTGTCACTTGGCGTATTCCGGAATGCGACGTCGTTCTGTTTCATTGTGGCCGTGCATGCGGATATAGCCATGGAGTTATAATGTATGCTAAAGCTTGCGAAGACTTGACAGTGTGAAGTAACTTGAATGAACATCATGTCTTACCACGCCTTTCATTCTAGTGAGGAGGAGTACAATTCATCGAAGAGAATGACAAAATAACTGTGGCGTCCGTTCCTCTGTTGTGGTTCGTCGTGAGTATGAAACAACGGCGTGTGGCCAAGTGAAATGTCTGGGGCTGACATCTTGTCCCGTGCACCAGACCCTGACTGACCTTCATTCAGAGCATCAAGTTTGCAAAAATGCAGTAAGTATTATTTTGTACTGTTCCTTTTCATCTAAACTCCTGATGATGTGCTAGCACACGTTTTTGAGCTGCCCTCTGTTCGCATGCTTGACCACATTAGCTTGCGTGCAGTTGCTCAATTTAGCTAGCTCCATAATCTTCATAGCGACACATGCACAGTACAGTATATGATTCCACGCAGGTTCGTGGAATCATGGTTCATCCGAAGTGACTCATCAGCTTGCAACTCGAACCGCGGCCCCCTCCCCGATGTGTACGCGGACTTGCTTAAATAGGACTGTTGAAGTTTTTTCTCTCATTCCTGCTTGTAGGTTTCACTGACGATGTTTCCTGCATGGGAGACGAAACGTTTGATTAAATTGTTAATCTTGTTGAGTAAAGTCGGAGCAGTTTTTTTGATCATTATGATTCCCGGCTTTTGGAATATTTTTGCATTTACAGTAGTGACCGAGTCCTTCAATACGCTACTGGTCACAAAACTTTCTCGTAATGCTGTGAGAAAGCATTGCATGCTGCCAAGAACAGCCGTGGTGCTGTCCTACTCTGGAGAGGTTCGACGGACGGCTTAGAGGCTTGTTTTTATGTGCAGCAAGTTTGCTTCGGCGCCGTGCTGTGCAGCTTGTGTTAGTACCTTGAAATATTGTACCAATGGCCAGATTTTGGTGGTTGGTGAGACAGAGATCTCCGCAGGTTTGTACTGGAGGAGCTGACATTTCTTTAACAGTCACGTCACCTGCTAACGCGAGTAAAGGGGGAGGGTTTGTCTGTCCCAGAGTCGTTTGCTGCGGGAAACAAGACGCCGTCGCGTCGTCTGCTACCAGAACTGAAGAAGTGGATCATCTGTTACGCACTGTATGCTGCGAGTGAAGCGATAGAAAACAAACTTGCATTGGGAACTTCTGCTATTTAACGAGGGACGCAATTGACGACCCGTGCTTCACTTGGAAGTGCCAATTCATTCTAAAGCGTCATATGCCTAGGCTCGAGGTATTATGTGACCACAGAGCAGCTGCTTGCAGCACGAGTTTCGTTTTTTATCCCAGGGCAAGTGTGCTTTACGGGATTCTCTCCGATTTTTAGACGGTTGATAGTTTTAAAAAAGGCCGTCCTGAAAGCCCAGGAAATGGCAGTTCTAACGAGGGTACAGGCATCGGGCTAGGCCTAATAGCCACGGACCTATATATCGGATTTTTAAACTTGTGCTTATCGCAGCCAAGCGCAGCGCATCTCATGTGCGTCGCCGACAAATTAATATTGCTTTTTATTTGCTTTGATTGTCAAAAAACATTATAAAACTTTGTGGGAGCATTCATTATTCACCATATAAGCCAAAACTGTGAAGTTCCGAAAATTGGGGCCGTTTCTCCCCTAAAAGGTTATTTGATTAACACAAATGTTTTTTTTTATTAAATTTATGAATATAGCATACAAATTATAACGTCTCTTAAATTTCTACAAAATTTTGTATCACTCTTACTGTGTCTGGCAGCCATTCCAAAGCTACCCAAACCCATGCGAAACACCTTAAAGTTTGAGCGTCCTTCTGAAACTTCCCGAAACCCATGTTTCTGAAACGTTTCTTCCCATTATCAGTGCATAATGTCGATCAGCAAAATGGATAATGCTTTCTTATGCCTTGCTTATCTTGCAGCCTTCGACGCTCAGCTGCTAAGGTCGTGATCGACCTGCACATCCAGAATGGGCACCTACAGCAGCAGAACAACTGCAAGTCTGTTGGGCAGGTGCTCAGGCACGTGGTGTCTTTCAAGCACCAGGGAGAGCAGGCGAGGCCCGGGGAACAGGCGACACCCCAGGAACTGGCCAGGCCTGAACCACCCGAGCTGTTCCTGATGCCTCTCAGCAACATGGAACAGTTTTTCGCTGCAGAAGCGCAGCTGAAGAACTTCACCAACAGGACACTGCCGGTATTTATGTGTCCTCTTTTTCACAATAATGACAGGTATAAGGCTGCGATTATTACTTTGTGGTTTAACTTGGGTTATCTGAATATTTATGCAAATGGGGTTGAAATGTGGACTGAAGCCACTTACTGTAATATTTCAAATGTACGCCCACCCAAACTGTGTTTTAAGCACAGTCGGTGGCAAATTAAAAATGAGTAAGATGCCTCACCTTCATTACGGGCCTTCTGTTATTTATAACAGCAGAGTGCACGCACAGCCAATGCACGATGGAAGGCTATTTATTGTAGAGGACATCCTTAAACTGAACCCTGCAATAGAATTGTGTCAAGGTGGTGCAATGCCAGTTGCAGGTTTTGCAAGTCAGCTTTAGTAGCCTGCGTATAGTTTCTGCAATTGTTAAACTACGATTCATTGAGGCTATTGAAGGGAGAAATGCTGGACGGTGGCCACCAAAAATTAAGTGTTTGTGCGTCGTTACATTTTTGAACAGTTTTTTTCCACCCGAAGGTCGTGTAGGCAAGAGGCCTTCATGTGCACCCTCATTGAACGGCATTTTTCTTGAAATGTTTTCGAGTAAAACATTTCACAACGGGGGAAGTGAAATCGCCCAACACATTGGCCTCTGGGTGCTTACAGTATGTTGGCCTGCAAATAATCATAAATCATGCTGATTTCCCACGACACCTCTGCCCGTTTTATCCTTAGAAGTTAAATTTCGCACCTGCAACAACTCTCGCCGTGAGTATGTGTGCGAAGCACGCACATAACTGCCTGCATGCTTTTTGTGTTTAACGCTCACTTGGCAGAAGGATCAAGATGCTGTAGTATATATTGGGCTTCTTTTGGTTTTATTCCTGTTCTCACTTGAGGCTATAGTCAAGAGATCTATATATTTAAGGTGATAAATTCATTTGTGCTTTTGGCATCTGCTACAGAAGTATAGGTACAGTCTCCGGTAATATGAAAGACCCACTGGGAGCGCGTCGCCGGGGCGGTGGCTGGCGCTGCGAGCGTTCCGGGCAATTCCATTCTGCTTCGAGGGGAGGACGCTCACTCGGGGCTCAGCACAAACTGATAAGCTCGTTACGCTTCAGCTGATCCTCAAGTGAGTGTCCTCCCCTCGAAGCAGAATGGTACTGCCCGGGGCGCTCGCAACGCCCCCGCCAGCCACCGCCCCTGCCACGCTCTCCCAGTGGGTCTTTCATATTGCCGGAGAGTGTACATGCTTGAAAATAACTTTTAGCCTGGTCCAAAATCGCTTCCGAGCGTGCCTACCATATGCGTATGACCAAACACATTCGTAAAAGTTTGCCGGATAAATTTTAATTAATTCTATCTTTATTTTACATAAGTAGTATATTTTCAAAATGAGATGTTAATCTGCCCTAACCGAAGGTCACCCTATGAGAGCAAATAAATTTTCTAAGGTGAAAGACTAACTGTCATTACATCCGCCTCTTCATTCAGGGGGTGTGAGTGCATGCGTTGCTGTGTCTTCAGGCATAGCATACATTAGTCACACAAGCGATTATTACATGTGGCGGGCTTGAGCTGAGTAAGTTGGTTCATTGGCCTACAAAGCCACCACTGAGTGAGCACTAAACAAAAATATGGAAAGAAAACTTCTCACACTGTGCTGCTGTTGGCATTTTGTGCGACTATGCAGACGGTTTTCGTCAATCCCTGCTTCTTATGCCTTTTTCAATTCCAATCTTCGTAAAGTCGTAAAATAGGCAATAAATTTTCAGGGTGACTACTCGGCAGACTAAGCTTTAACAAATTCAAAATGCGCAGGGTCTTGAATGCACTGTTTTGAGAACCACATACATTATTAAAATTACTGAGTAGATGCTGATGAGCAAAGATGATCCATCAAAGTTAGAATATGCAGCTTCTGTCTGGGATCCCGGACTAGTCACTCTCGTATCTACATTGGAAGCCGTTCAGAACAGATCCGCTCGTTTCATCCTCACAAACTATCACCGCACCGCTAGCGTCACCTCTATGAAAACAACTCTCTCATTACCACCTTTATCCCTACGTCGTAAAATTTCTCGTCTTTCCCTATTCCATAAAATGTATCACCATAATTCTTTCCTGCGCGACAAATTAATTGCTCAGCCTGTCTATGTTTCCTCCCGTCTTGATCATCAACATAAGGTGGGCATTCCTAACTCTATCACAACCACGTTTTATTCATCTTTCGTTCCCCGTACATCCCAGGAGTGGAACCACCTTCCCCGGTCGATCGCCATTATCACGGACTCTGAGCCCTTTAAAAGTACAGTAACTAATTACTTTATTACTGAGTGTGTCTAAATATGTATTATGTTATTTGCATTAACCTTCTTGTTGCTCTCCCCCTCTGTAATGCCTTCGGGCCCTGAGGGTATAATAAATGAAATGAAATGAAATGAAATGAAAACGTTCGCACAATTTGGACGATGCAACGAATGTGACTGACTAATGAGATTTAGCGGAGTATGAAGGAAAATATTTTAATCATTCTGGTTTCCTCTAAGACAGGTAGGTTGCCATATATTCAAATATTTTTTACTCTCTCTCCAGTAAATATTGTAAGATTTTGATGCGTGTATAGTGTAGCTTGCTGCATTTATCTGGGCATTCACATTCTCTTACTTGAGACATGTTCATACCATTGTATCTGCATGTGAATAACTTTATTGACATATTGAGAACACCTTTTGTCTTTCTAGGAGGAGCAGCTCGTGTCTCTAGGAGACAGCAAGAACCTGCAGAAGGTGGTTCGAGAGGTGGTGGGACGCCTGTTCTCAAAGCAAGTCCAGGAGCAGTTCTCCCTTCTGGACTACCAAGGAAAGTCAAGGTTCAAGGACGCCATGATGTGCAAGGTGGTCATCGGTAATGCATATTCATTATTAGCTATTAAATTGATGGTATCTCTATTGGAGCTCAATAGACAAGCAAAATCTTTGAAACATGTTGACAATTAAAGGGAAGCTGAAACACTTCTTGAAAAAAAAAAAAGAGTTAGAGGTGTCTTCTGGTGTATTTTTGTCCTGTGAATCGAAATATCGCTTTCGTTTTCCCCGAAGGTGTTACTAGAAACGAGAAAACACGAAAAACTTCAGACCAGTCGTGACGTTGTACTAGGATCTTTGGGCCGCCAAGTATGTGTTGCTCGTGTGGGCAGCACGTGTAATTGCAAGCTTGCCAGTTGTATTTTTCCACACTGACGCCAGTCGTGACATCTATTTCTGACCTTTTTAAAACTAGCAAGAGTTCACGTGCATAGGTTTGACAGGAGCTGAACATGAGTGAGAGCAGAAATTCCGAAAACTCCCAGTATGACGTCACGCCCCGGGAAGGAGGGGCTTCAGCTGTACTTTAGAAATTAGTTCCTGCAGCCTCCGTGCACCAGATGGAAAAATAATTTTGATATTCGTAATCCTGGAGGCCAAATGAAGACTATTTTGGTGTTGTTCCTCAAATACAGAACAGCTTCAGTTTCCCTTAAAGTCTTGCAGCATGCAAAATTTAAGTCGTCAGTTTGTGTCGTTTTTTTTTTTTTAATTCGACTTGCATTCTTTATTATGAATAACTCTCGCGTTAGCATTCTTAGAACCTTCATACCCAAAAGCAGCGTTTTGAAGTAGCTGTGAAAAAAGATTTGGTTGGTCTTGTCTTGTTATCCTGTTAGTTTCCAGGTTGAAAGTCTAATGAAGACCATTTAGAGGCCTTGGTCTGTAGAGTGTCAGTTGGGGAAGTTTTTCTCTCTTTTTAGCCACTCATCTCTGTGCCCTGCCCCCTCTCGCCCCCCGCCCGTCTCGCCCCCCATTTCAGATTAATAGGATGTTGCCTGAAATAGCCATATGCCTCCATAGAATCTGCTCCTTAGCATGGTAGCCAAACCCAGAATCTCCGCCTCTGTGGTTCTCTCTTTCTGTCACCTTTGAATTGCAGGCTAGGTGAGCGACCTATGTTTACACAATGGAAACGCTCACAAACTGCAGTGTGTGAACAGCACCTTAGCTAGTGTGAGAGATATTGGCTTCCCCTATTTCTCAACTAATCTGTGTTATCTGACAATTCTCTTTACAGGTGCCATACAAAGTCGTGCTCAAGGGTGCAGCGTGGACGCGATGGAGGAGCGGCTGACAGGCAGGGAGGCGGGCAGGGGCAATACAGTTAAAATGACGGACGCTCCAATGGCGGTTCCAACCACCTTCAACGATGAGAGACACTGGCTGAGGAGCTAGCTGCTATGGATGCACAAGTCAAAATAAAGAATGTCACGGTAAAAAAAATATTTTATGTTCCCTTCTTGTACTACCCACAATATGCATCTGGGTGACAGATGAATGGGACATGTCGTCTCAACAAGTATACAATAATTGCCATGAGTATACTCTGTACATGGAGAAAGTTAATTGTTCACACAGTATTGTTTCTTAAAATTGCACAAATACTAAACTGGCTTGTTTCGGTCGAAGTCCGAAAAACATACTAAAAACGGTCGGCACCTATAAAAGATATGAAAACCAATAAAATAGTTCGGACTGAGAAATTCAGCATTTCCACATTTAAGTGAATTTGATCTAGTGAGAAGCTAGCTCTGCAAAATTTTAATGCAGTAGGACGTCATACCTGGGCTTTAAAAGCCTGACACAGCTAGCATTCTAGTGGTTCTATGCCGAGTACACTGAATGACAAATACGCTGGCGCTGATCCGCAATTGCACTGGCACTGATCTGTTACGCTGGGACTAATCTGCAATTG